ATGCTCGTTTCCATTTGAATTAAAAATAAATGATGCGCATTTTGAATGTATGTGTGGCCTAAGCATTCGTGTGTATTTTTGAATGTATGGCCTAAGCATTCGTAAACATTGTGAGCTTGTGAAACGAGCTGTGTGTAGAGCAGGCCTATCTACAAAATTTCATGTTGGTCTAAATATTTTCTAAATGCAAATTAACTCACATTTACCTTCCATTGAAAAAACGGAAATTTTTATAAGATGTTTAACGTCGCAAATGGATTTTTGCCTAGAATCACACAACACATGTCTTAAATTGCTCAAGAGTCTCATCATGTTAATGATTTTTAGTTTCTTAAATTATATTAGTCGTAGCTATAAGGTAGTAGTAGCCTTCTTAAGATATTCTGTTTGAGCTTATATTTCATTGCAGGTGAACCGTTTTTCTTCACTGGTTGGTCAAAACATCTTAACAAGTGTTTCCCGAACTTTGTATGTTCGACTCTTTTTTTCTTTATCATAAAATTTATCATATCAAATATTTAAGTCCGCGCCTCCGCGGTTTAGTACTACGCTCTCGTCATACTCGTATTATCGTATAACGTATATGTTAAACTGTGACAGCAGCAAGAGATGAAGATCTTGAACTCGCCTCTCAGACTCTTGTAAAACCGTGTTATATTTTTGCAATATCGTAAGACGTAAGGTAGGCATTAGCATGAGCTAAACTACATGTGAAAATTGTGAATTAGGGAATAATGTTTAACTGCTGTTTCTAGGGCAAAATTTGAGCTTAGGCAGCTAGGCTATTCGCGAATCGTGATCGCGCGCTGGCGGCGCTGCGCGCGTGCCATCGCCGCCAAGAGTTCGCAACTTCGCGGTTCAAGAATGGCTTTCCACGGCTTGAGAAATAGGCTTACGGCTTGGAAATTCGTTATTTCGCGGCTCAAAAAATCCAGTCGCGGCTCACAGAGTAGATCTTTTCCTCCCCTGCTTCAGCAGAGAGAGCAGAAGTTTGCTTCTGTCCACCCACAGGTAAGACTAAGAACAGTATCAGAGTCAGATATTTCACCAGAGACAGAGAGAGCATGAGAGGTTGGCTTCTGCCCACTGCCCACAGGCTCACAGCCGCCACAGGTAAGAACCGCATCAGAATCAGACAGGTCTCCCAGTCCCAATGAATCAGAATAAGACAAAAACCCTTCAAAGTTTGCCCTCAATTCCATCATGTTGCATTTCCAGCCATTCTTTGTAGTTTAACTGTTCCTTATTTGCCAATTTGTCTACAGCAATCTGTCTAGAAGCTTGCTTCTCACATCTTACTAGGCTTGGAAAGTCATCAGGTTTGTTGATGTTTTGATTTTGAGAGTCCCCAAGTTTATTTGCACTACCTTCAAGCAGCCCTGTCATCGGTACCGACTCCGAAACGGGAGATTCAATCTCCGCCTCGGGGTCAGACGTCCCAGATGAAAGGCTACCTAGTTGTTCTCGTTTTTTTCCTACGTTTACTCCCACCCCGTCCCATATTTGAAAAAAGAATGAAATAACCACCTTAAGCAACAAGGTTCGAGATCGTTACTTACGAATTTGATGACCTCTTCTTACCGATCACGTTACCAGCAGATCTTTACTAACAATCGACACCAAAGATGTTTACGCGATGAACGCCGGCCATGGAATCAAAAACTTGCCTGAATTTGGCAGCGCTGGCGTTCAATTGATCCATCAATTTCAGCGGAGAATGTCATGTTTCCGGATTTGGATTTGAGGCGTGTTGACTCTGAAAAAATACATTCCGGAGTCAGGCCTTCAGAAAGTAAAAAATAGTGCTATTCACTGGAATTTCCACAAGGCATGAAATAATAATAATAAACACAAGTAGGGAGCATGAATTACTTCAACGCGCATAAATCCACTCGAAACAGTTCAGTAACATTTGTTACCATTGCTCAAAGCGCACTATCCATGGATGCATAAACTAAAGCAAGTTTCTTCGTTTCATAATATTTCTCATAAATATGCCGTCATGAATAACTTACGTGGGAATGCATTCATCTGCATCAGAGTCTCGCTCCATCAGAACAGCGCATTATTGTGAAGGAGGTTATTGGGAGACTATTTTTAGACAAAATGCCGAAATTAGATTATCTTCGGCAAAAGATTGATAAATTTTTCGCCACATTATTTGAATTTGGACACCGGCCGTGAGTCCGGTTACGAGACCGGCCGTAAATTTGTCCGAGACGTCACATTATTTAATGAGAGCGCAGCTATGCACCACCAATTTTGTGCACCAATAAGCCCTGAATCGAATGCCTTGGATCTCTCCAGACATCCACCAATCAGCCGTGAACCACTCGGCTTTGTCTTCCTCCGGCCTCGCATAGAACCTGCTGTGCACCACCAGGCCGCGGATCGAATCTGACTTCCGGGCATCATTAAATTACGTAATTTTATGTTCACCGCATCTGAGGTTAGGTTTCAGATAGCATAGTTCTGTTCCAAAATTTATCGTCCTTCGACAAGTGGCCGTTCGACCAAAGGCTGGTTCGACCCACGGGCCACGGCCTAGATATTGACGGCTTGAAGTGTTGAAGGCTACATTCCGGAAGGCAGGAATCATGATGGTCCATTACATCCAGGGCAGTGGTGGTCTTTGGCAGGCGACCCATTTAATGAGAGCGTAGCTATGCTGTGCACCACCAATTTTGTGCACCAATAAGCCCTGAATCGAATGCCTTGGATCTCTCCAGACATCCACCAATCAGCCGTGAGGCGTGAAGTCGTGAACCACTCGGCTTTGTCTCCCTCCGGCCTCGCATAGAACCTGCCGTGCACTCCCCCAAGAGTACTTAGATTTAAAGTCAGCTCATACAGACGCAAGAGCAAGTCAGAGTGCTACGCCATACATGATGTAACTCATAGTCTCATACACAATCGCTGATTGGTTTGAGCTTGTTGCCGGACTGCCCAAAGCAATGTGGGTGACGTGGGGGCCTTTTTGTGAGTTGTGACTCCCATTCTAAATACCATTTATGGTTACTTTCCTGCAAAAAGTTTAAGCAAGTAATTATTTATCTACTTTCAAATTAATGCCAAATGAACCTCCACTCAGCAAAACAGGAATTTTCCTACTTTTTTTCTAAAATCTTCAAAAAATCTAAAGCTCCAAGCCTCCAGTGCTGTCACTGCTTTGCATATTGCAGAGATGATAGTGGCAAACCAGAGATTTTTTAGAATCTGTTAATTTTTGTTTTCCTCATCTACTCAAATAACTTGATATTATGAACAATTTCTTATATAAGATAATGCTGGTATGCAAGATACTCATTATTCTACTGAGTACTTAATACTTATACAGTTATACAGGGATGACTGAAATAACTCAGCAGTCAGCATTGCCCAATACCAGCATAATTTTCATACTTCACCCCGTGTGCAAGCATGCTGCAGAGCAAATTAGCCAACATGATTACTTGCTGAAAGCCACAGGGACTAAATTCCTTCATGGATGTAAACCAGCGAGCCAATGACCTGCAAGCCGCCAAAACAATGGTCGTAACCCACACGCTAAACCCCAAAATATTTCTATTCCATGCAGCCTAACCTCTCCCCACTTTCGATAAAGAACGCCCTGCGCCACACTGCTACCTCTCCAGCCTGTCTGTTCTTCTGGAGGCTAAACCTCCACGCTTACCCCCTGCTCCCCCTCCTTTCGGTACCAGCTTGCGGAAGAAATTTAACCAAACCTAACCTAACCTAACCCCTTCGCGGTATCGCGGAAAGGTGGAGAGAATGGGGTAAGTGTGGAGGTAGAAGATGCTGGTGAGCGACTGAGCGTTAGGGCTGGGCTTACGCCTGCGAAGTGGGTAAGGTGATGCGACAGTCCGGTGCGGTCTGCGGACCCTGTGGCTTACGGC